GACAAAAATTTTCGGGTACTGGAATTTCCAAGAGTTTGGCTGCTATATCTTTTTCCACAGTGGAACTATCATGTTTGCTGAAGAAAGCAAATGGAACTACCTCTTCTGTCAAATACCATCGGTGATTGGTTATTTTACAAAGAATGACATCAGCAACTTCCTTGTCTATTTCTTCCACTGTGAAAAAAGATATGGCAGCCAAACTGGAACACACACACACACACATACACATATATAAGAAAGTGTACACCTCGCGGTAGAGTTTGCCCAAAGATGATCAGTGTGTTCTCAGCACATTCACGATAGTCATCTCTTGGAAATGTTGTAGCATCTTCGCTAGCAAGTAGATGTGTCAAATGCTGTATGGTCTGTTTTTTTAGGTTTTGCAACTAGGTGCCTTCAACAGCTAAAGTTTTGATTGGCTACTGTTTATCCAATGCTGACCAAGCAGTTTTAAATTCAGCAAAGAATTTATTCTCTGGACCAAAAATGTTTCCAAATAATTTCTTCCAACATGCTCCGACAAAGATTTCAAAAATATGATGTCGACAGGCAAGATAGAGAAGTTTTCGAGCTAAGTTTTCTTCAATCAATTTAGCAGCACCATTGTTGATACCACTATTACTGGCAGTGGTATCAAATACCGATGCCACAACATTTTTGCTTAGATCCCAAGCTTCTAGGAGATCCAATGTTGCATTTGCTTGAGTCTGTCCTTTCGAATCAACGAGAACGGGAACACCAAGCAATTTTCCCTCACTGTATTCTGGAGCACCCGACACAAGCACAGCTAACTGTTCATGTTGTACGTCTAGTATGTCTTTTAGCAATTTTCCGTCCCAGTGAAGGGCACCAAACTGGGGTGGGTTGAGCCTCACATTATCTATAACACTCTCAGCAATCCTCTGTTGATTTATCATTCTATTTCAACAATATGTCAATCTAGATATATTAAAATCGTCCAAGTTTCCATTCAGCTTTAATTACAGCAGACACGATCATAGTTGTTTTATTATCAGACAATTTCAGCCTGTCTGCTGCAAAATTGATTTCCTTGCATTGCATAATTATTTTGGGGAGGTGAAGAGTATTAAATTCTGATCGTCTATTCATTGGAGGTTCATAATTCAAGTCCCAACCTAAACCAATATCTACTTCAGCAACAGCAATATTTTCATTAATATTCTGTTCTTCGACATAAACTTCCATGTCCTCATTATCCTGATCATCGTGTCTACCTTCTTTTTCTACTCTTTCTTTTTCTTCATCTCTAAGTATGATTTTCCGATTATATCTGACTTTCAATTTTGCTTTAATCTCAAAGATTTTTTCATGCCCGTCCATGGTCGCCTTTCTGTCTTTTTTTTTGATCTAAATAGAATGCAGCATCATCATCTTTCTTTTGGGCAGTCAGTAGCCTGGATTTCATGATTTCCTGTATAGCATCAGGTGATCCAATAACAAAAAGACTATCCAACTTGGCCAAGAAGTTAACACGTTTTCCGCCAGCATCACTTTCGCAATTCTTGTTCTACAACAAGCGGTTCCACTCATTC